TCTAGTTGTCAAATAGAACCAAGCCCTGAAACTAACGTATGGTACGAGCCCCCACTTCCGGTAATGGAAGAATGACACAATAAAATGCTACAAAATTAGATTTATTGTACTAGTCCAATCAGTAGTGACAGTAATAACAGTGAGCATAGACCAGGGTTGATAAATATTAACATTACAAATAATACCTAGTAGTTTAATATGACAGGTGGTTGTTTTCATTAATAATCACTACAAAAATATTCAACTATGAGCATGTCTCTAAATCAGTGCCAGTTCGTTGGGTTATCAATTCGGCGAGAGTCTGCGGTCTTGACGAGGTGTATTGTACTCACATTTCGACAAGAAACGACGTTTTGATTAGCAAATAATAAGTATCTTCCGAATTCTTGAATTCACTCGTCAGCCAGTCATAAGACTCCACAAAGAAGAGCACAACCACGTTATCTCAACAGCGAAACGGATCCGGCGTAAAGCAAGGGCAGCAACCACGTGCGCGGACCCCTTTCATAACACTGCAACTCGTCTCGTGCTCTGCAACTCCTTTCAAGCTCTGCAATTCTCTGTTTTACGTAGTCAAATCGGACCCCTCAGGTCGATCATGGTTCAGACCCTTGCATGACGTATCTACTCCCTAGCTTGGAGGTAATTTATATGTCATACGTAACGCAGTTCCCAACTCTTAACTTAGCAGCTATTCAAAACCTGCACAATATATATGCTCAACCAAATTACAATATATTTTAACTTTTTTAACACAAAAATTGCAAATCACCACGCCCTCATCTAGCGAGCATTCAACCTTTTGTCCACAAGCCATATTAATTTAATACAAACACTATGAAATCAATCTCTACAAGTCTCATAAAATTACAGGTACGCAACACTACCGCTTGATGCGTATGACAAAAGGTTTCTAAATGACTTAGGCATAAAGTATACCTTCTACAAGTGTATTTTGCGTATTACATTTTAATGACTCGTCGTAATCGTAGAATGGAATAAATCATAAACACTTTGGTGAAAATTATTAATAGCACACGATGTTACCTCTGGGCTTGCCATTCTAAATTTATACATTTTATTAACTTATTCATAGATTTTAAAAACTTGAATCGACAATAAATTGTCAGATACAATTGTAGTAATATGATCCTAATACAACAAAGTCAATGATCAAATGAATTATGGGAACCGGAACTAGAAATTTGTGAAGTTCACTGAAGGAGACATGGATTATTTAATACCCTGTTGAATTTGTTTTTTAAGGGAAGGAAGGATTGTGCCTGGGTATTGGACAGGAAAAAATGTAGATGGTTGTGAAGGGAGTTATGGCAGCTAGACATAGTTGAATCACATTTGAAACAAACAACCCTATTTAGATAGTGATGATATTGTTGCCGTCTATCATGTTAGTTTTGTTCAGTAACCTTGCATGAAACATTAACCGTGAATACTATTATGAGATTTTTAAAAGGATTCTGCAAAGTATGCACGAAAACAGTACAGCAAAAGTATTGACCGTCGCGCAGCGGAGGTCGATACGACCGTGAACTGTCTGAGTGCATACTTAGTTTGTTATAGGTAGAGAAGAACCCGTTGTGAAATTCACCTGGACATCTTTGATAGCGAATCTTAGATTACAAATCTCCCCCCCCCCACCCACACACAAATTGTATAACAGAATTGTTTTTTCATTGGCAATAACCCGGAATATAACCATGTTTTGGCTGAGCTAATTAAGCAAATGAGGGAATAAATAAGTGTATTGGGTGTGCCATACGATGTGCATCCGGGTATTTTGTTTTTGTTTTAAGCTGTTTAGTTATGCAGCCCCGTCTCGGGTCGTGTGTTGTCACGTGTATTTAATTTCGTTTGCATAGAAGGACGATAGGTCAATGTCCTTTATATATCGCACCTGATACATGTATGTTTCATAGTAAACTACATGCTGCATTTCATCACAAATCATCTGCTAGGCGCATTCAGTGTGTCAATGCATCTACATAGCCCATAAACCTGTGAATCGTTGTTTAGAATCCAGCGCAGGGTGTTGTTATTCAGGAAAATTTTCCATTTTTAAATAGTGAGGGGGAAATGGTATTCTATTCTTGAATCGAGTGATGCCAAACATCTTCCAAAAACAGTCTGCTTACTAGAAAATGCAAAAAAGAATATCCTACGAGACGAACATTGTTTAGAACAAATAAACCGGTGAATGCAGAACACAAAATAGTAATATGTGAATATGACCTCGAGATGAACCCTGAACATATGCTATACCATAACGTATACCTGATTGAGAACATGAAACTTTACTCCTGAGCATATCAATACATTGACACTCACTCTAAGTGTTAAAAAAAATACCGGGGACTAAAACACGTGCCTATATCCTTTTGATTGCAAACTCGCTTGGGATCCACACGACCGTTTAAAAAACGAAACACACACAACAACAAAGATTTAGCTAATAGTAATTTACAATGCAGCGTTGACACTTTTTTATTACAGATAAAGTTGTTATTTGGTGTATGCACGGTCGCCACAATAGTGTCGCTTCCATTCCTTATGAAGTCATTCTCAGTTAGGTGAGCAAACTTTTTTTACTCAGTTCGCGAGATACATTTGCAGATTCAAATCTGCAAAAAGGTGTACAGAGAAGTTTCAGTTGATATGAATGAAATAGAAACAACCTAATGCCAGATTCATACATTTCGTTAGTCAGTGGCACTTAGTTAAAGAGTATCAATGAGACATACCAGCAGCTGCTATCAGCAAGATGTTTACTATGGGGTTATGTATTTCAAATGTTTGAATAATTGCTGAAATTAAATGAGACAGACAGACATTCACATACACACAAAAAAAAACAGACAGAAAGTCAATTTCTTTAGAAGTCACTGTAACCAAGCAAAAGTAATTACGTTTCCTATAAAGGTATAGCAACCCTGTTTTCTCAAGTCGTGTCAGCAACTACAGTAGTAAATGAAATATAATTTTTTTTATTCAGAAACATCTCCGCCAATGGTACAGCGAGGCCCATGAACTGTAACTTTACTGATTCGAACCTTAACTTTTCTTATTTGTCACGTGACAACGAGCTTCAACGCAATGCATGTCAACGTCAAGACAACGTATGTTTCATAAAGACGAGAAAAACGGGTAGTACAACATTGTCGTCGATACTCAACACATATGGTTTGCATAGGAACTTGTCATTCGCTCTGCTGAAGACAAACTATCACAGTGGACATTTGAATACAATAAGAGTAACCGACAAAAGCCCTAAAATACATTTTCTTCCTCCCTTACGCGTCAAACCGGGAGACTGGACAAACTATAAATATAACATGATGACAGTTCACGTGAGATTCAACCGAACTGCATTCGAAAGTTTCATGCAACCAGGAACTAAATATATTACTATCCTAAGAAACCCTACGTCACAATATGAATCTGCATTTGCCTATTACAAGCTAGCAAAAGTTGTCAAGAAATACAATAAGTACATAAGTGAAAACGAAGCACTTCCTGAGTTTTTAAGAATTCCCAAATACTACTGGAAAAAAACTAGGGAGATTTTTGGAAACGACATTGCAGAGTACACACGAAATGCGCAGATATCTGACTTAGGACTTGACCATGAACACCATACAAATATTACAGTAGTTAACAACTACATCAGTAATCTTAATGAGAAATTAGATTTTGTCTTGATCATGGAGTATTTTGATAAATCACTTGTACTTTTGAAAAATAAGTTGTGCTGGGACTGGAATGATGTAGTATATCTAATGAAAAACGCAAGACCACCGGACAAGAAAAATGCTAAATTAACACTAGAACTAGAGAGACAAATAAAGGATTGGAATTATGCCGACTATCTACTATATCAACACTACAATCGTACATTCTGGGAACTGGTTGATGATTATGGACCAACATTTGATAACGATCTTGAAATATTACGCATGCACTTGACAGAGGCAAGAACCTGTGTTGCAAAAACGCCAAGTAGGTTCATTGGTGGTCGATGGCAAAAGGTATACATCTCGTCTTCCAATGCAACATCACGATGTCAGCTTCTGACAATGAACAATAACCAATTATTCAGCATGATTAGACACAACCAATCATCTGGATATTATTTTTACAACCCAGAAGGTATGAACCCAATAATCTCATTGTATAGCTGCCCAGCTAGAAATCACGTTGCAAAATTTGGTGAAGCCGAAATTTCAACCTAGGTATATATATGAGTGACTAGCAATTTTGGATGGATGAAAACATGGGTAAACAGTGAATTTACGAGCAGAAATTAATTATTTGTTTTATTATTCTGGTCCCAATTTACAGCTAAATTGTGG